CCTGGACCATCCTTTGTAGCATTAATTCTTGCCCGGGGTACTTTTCTGCTCGGTTCTGTTGGGTGTTCTGGTTCTAGCACGTTTCGCAGCAAAAGCGCTCGTAATGATCGGAAACGCACGCTTTTTAAAAAAGCGCACGTGCACACGTAAGCAGGGTGTTAGGCACATGCATGCCCATGATATAAACTATAGCCTTACCCAGCCCTCTAAGCTGATGTGAATGATGCTCTACCTTGTCGCTGGCACTGGCAATGCAAACGCCGGGGCTCCCAGATTCTTTTCTCAGCGCTTTTCAGAAGCCTGTTTGGTAAGCTGCGTTTTGTAGCCGCCCAACATCTTTTGAATTGTGCGAAGCGAGCAGCTTAGAGCATGCGTTCCGGAGCGTCTTGCTACTCTCGATACTCTTCCAATGAAGTCCTCGTCGGACCAACATGCAGCATCTTAGTTCAGACTCCAAGAATCGCAGCACATAGTGGCGACCGACAGAACTGACACAGAACAATTGAGTCCGGCACTCATTGGATTAATGCAATGTATGCCAAGGCGGGCACATTCAAGGAGCGGAATCCTCAACAAAACAACGACACATCGTGCATAACCACCCGGCACTACCAGCACCTATAGTGTACGTATCATTGCAGTCATGGAGCGAAAAGTGTTCTTGCATGTGGACTTTAGGCCGTGAACGAAAAAGGCTCCAGCCTCGAACCCATGTGCCTTTGGCAAGACACATGTAGCCTGCCTCGGATACATACATGTATGTGGCACGATCACCTACACCGCCTTTAATGACCCCCAACACGAAACAGCCCTGTATACGTTCAATAGTCGGCCATGTATCTGTCATCTCGTGGCAGGCCTGCCCAGCTACAGAACAGGTTTGTGGATCCAGCCACAGTCCTTCATAGTGCAGAATCCGGAAGTATACATTTGCACACTTGACGACATACAGCAGCATCTCGAAGAGGTGATCCGGACACTCCTGGGCTAAGATCGTAGAATATATACATGCAAATTGCGGGTCGTGCTTCATGGGTTTTTGCACCTCACCGGTCGGTATTGCATAGCTAGGCTCAAAGTTCTTCATGTAATCCTGCAGCCATGAAGTCATGAGAGCTGTGTCAGCCCCCCTGCCGCCAGTAGCCGTTGGGAAGCTTGCCCCCGACGTCCTTATAAGTACTGCACTAGCATGATGTAATCTAACCGATAGCCAGAATGAATATGCATGCAGTCAGGGAACCCCAATTTGAATCCAGATTTTGTGAAGGAGCGTATGTTTGTTGATTTTCCATTTGTGGCACACCAACGAATGAAGTCACCGTAGGCTGCTGAAAGCTGGCTTGCCAAAGCCCGACCAGGAACCAACTTCAGCTTGCAAAGCAGCAGAAGCCCTGAAACCACAAAGTCCTTTCCACACCTCAGCTGAAGCTGCCGATAAGTGTTGTAAGGCCTTACAGGGTTTCGGCTTACAGGGGGTTGCTGTTGCAGCTTACGGCTTGTTGATTCGATCGTTGCATGTGAGATACCCTATGTGCCAAGTGTGCGCCGGGTCGACCAGAGCACGGGAGGGATCCTGGAGCCCAGGAATTTGCAGCAACGGTGATTGTCGTACCTTGAATGGTGTCGCGCCCTTGGAGAAGCGCCAGGGTGCATCAGCATGCAGATTATACCATTCCTGAGCTGCTCGGGGTGCATGCTGTATCAAGCAGGAGTAGTGCAATTGAGTGTCGTCACTGCTGCAGAGATGGCACTTCCGGGTACATTGCCATCCTGTTGCCAAAGACATAGCCTGGCAGGTATCGGCAGTAATCAGCATTCAACAAAGTATCCGTATCCCACCTTCCGAAGATAGACCCAGTCCCCCTTCACTCCCAGCATAGCGAAATGCAACTTGATGTTGCCCGTCTTCGTCGCAACCTTGAAGCATGCAATGTGATCAAATAAGGTGTGTGGCTGCTGGACACTCAGCAGTACGTGGTTGCGACCTTGGTGCAGTTATGCCGGTTCTGAAGAGGCTAATGAGGTCGGAGGCGAGGGCGTCGTTGAGGGCATCCAGAGTTGCATCATTCCAGTAGAGCTCTGCCGGGAGCACCGTGTACAGAAATCGAGTGCAATACGTGTGCCTAAGACGGTGTTGCATGTGTATTCAATAGGGATGTGCATGTGTGTTACACAAAGGATGAATTCCCCATAGCTGTTAATGCGACATGAGGCCCACTCGAGTTTTTGTGTGAGTCACCTCGAAAAGACACAGCCGGTTGAAAAGCCTCCACCATAATCGGCAATTTATACTTGCCTCGTCCCTCGTCACCGTGCACATAGATCGGCACAGTGACGGATGCATCTGGTGAGTCGGCTTGGTGCATGCAATGGCTTCTGTCGTAAAGCTTATACTTGCGCCAAAACTCTGTCAGTGAGGCTTGCCACTTTGCAGTATCTTCCAAGTCTGCACCTCCAAGAAGCAGGTAGGGGTGATTCTTTAGCAAGAATACAACCCAGGTGCTGGGGTAGATCACCGGATAGTAGACCATGACCTTCCGGACTGTAGGGCGCCTTTTGCGAACTGGAACCCGAACCAAGCTGATGGCAACAGGCACCGTTACCCCTTCCCGGTGTATTAGCCGGTGTAAGTTCCGGCACACGTTTGGTGCACTTTGGCCAGCAGCTGCAATCTTGTAAAGCATGTCGAGTTGTCCTGGAACAACCCAAGCTACATTGGGCCAAATATATGCATGTCTTTTGCCAGTGCGTGTACATGTGTGGCACATGCTTGCGAGGTTTCGATATACATGGTGCTATATGCAAGCTAGCAACGGCTGCCAGCACCGATCTTGTAGACCATGTTGGCCATGTCCGCGGAACCCTTTGCAGATTCTGCCTCAGTTCTACAAAGAAACCAGTGCACATGACGACTGAACACATAGGAGCTCATATCATTGTGCCGGAGACACTCCACTGAAGTACTTTGAGAGTATCTGGTCAGACACCTCGAGGTCCAAATCATGATCTTCTTGTTCACGCTGCGATCGAGGTCCTGTAGTTTGCAGATACGTTAGCCCATTTCAATTTCAGGCCTTGTGGTTTAAAGGGTCTAGGGATGTGGGCAGGGCGAGGTCGTTGCAAGTTCACGGACTATATATACATATATTTTGGAGATCTATTGGGTCTGCATGTATTATACAAACTAGGATTTGAAATAATTCAGTAGGGTGAAGCCGCTTAGGGTTAAGGGTCATTTAAGGTTCATGTCTTCACACGTAGAAGTCATACGATCACGGGTTTCTAGGACAGATGCTGACAAGGCACGGCCAGCTAAGCGATTCAGGGTCGGATCCTCGATGGAAGTACCTGGCCGTGCTCAATGAAATTATTACATGCAATTAGTAAATTCAGTTGCATCAATCGAGCTGCGTACGGTGGCAGATATATACTCACAAATCGCGAGACCCACTTTTGCCTATCCCCGGCAATTCTCATCGGAAGGTTGGCACACGTGGCTGTCACGCGNNNNCATATAGTTTGCCTGTGGTATGATCCTCGCAAGCAAGCAGCTAGGCCTGAAGCTGTAAATAGTAGCGACTTGCACCATGTAACACCACAGGCAGCATGGCTGACGTCTATATACATCAGGAAAAGTTCAGCATTACTTCTTTTTAGAAGCAGCCTTTGCAGCACCTCTACGTTTGGCAGGCTTCGCTCGCGACTTGGGGCTGGCAGTGGCCTTGGATTTTGGCGTAGCGGTTTTGCAGGACCTCGGGACAACAGGCCATTGCTCTGACCATCATAGAGTTGAGGGCAAGATCGAGCCGGGTACAGCTTGCGTAGCACTGGAGCAACTGCTCCTTGGTGGTCCTGGGGCTGCTAGGGGTACACAGAGTTAAAATTTATACTAGCTAGTGCATTGTATAAGGATTATAGCTAGCTGCAATGCACGGATCGCTAGCACACATTCTATAGGATCTGCACATGACATATAGGGTCCTGCTGGGCGGCGTGCCAGCATCCAACACAGCATTGGTCTGGAACTGCAGCAAATCCTTATGCCTTGCCTCCAACTCGGCACTTTTTTCACTCATATCCTTCTTCAACCTGCGGTATGTGGTGCATGCAGCAGCTAGTGTATCGATCGGTCGAGTGCACATATAGCACGAGTCAATTGTTTGCCAAAGCACGACACCGCTCGAGGATGCTTCGACTCTTTCAGTTTATCCTAGGCCGCACATTTCTGCATGCACACATGCACACACACACACATGCACACGCACCACACACACACACACCCACATCGAAAACACACACACACACACCAAAACAACAACAACAACAACAACGACGACGACGACGACGACAACACATGCAGAGAGAGAGAGAGAGAGAGAGAGAGAGACTTGCAAAGCAGCTCGCAGGCCTGCAGCTCCGTAGCTTTATCAACCTTCTTGCCCGTCATATCTATGTAGGTTGCCAAGACACCTGGGATTGCACATGCATGCGTACGTGCATGTTCATATATAGATATTGCTGCGTGTGCAATGCATACCGATGCATGCAAGGCACTGAAAACATCTTGGTTCGCTTGCAACACAGGCAAGCACTTCTCTTTGGCGGAAGTAGCAGTTGTCTGACAAGCAACCCGTGCGTGGTCAACCTGCAATTGGCCACCGGTACCGGTCCTTAAGCGTTCGCGTGCATGGGTTTATGTATGCCATGCATGCATCGAGATCATTATGCTTCTATAAGTCCAATGCAGCCGAAGTGTCGTGAGGGCACAGGCCTCGGTGACCGAGTCCAGAAGAAGGGTTCCGTTCGGATCCTGTGGGTTTAGGGCTTAGGGACTCTAGGGCTTAAGATATTATATTGGATCGATCTATAATTGCTGGGGGCGTAAGGCTTGAGGTGCATGCATACACGTACAGTATGTGCATATCCGTGCACCGGTCCTCAACCTGCAAGAAGCCCTTAGTCTTTGTTGATTGCGAGTCCGAGTTCCGGAAGAGGAAGCTCTCTGCCGTGGGCACTTTGTACTCTTCAGCTCCGTGCACTTCATTTGTACGGGTCAACCCACGGGCTGTGGCCCAATTCTTGGCATTGGTGATCATGGTTCTTGGATGAGATCAAAACTAGAAGTGGCTAGAAGCTCATGTCCAAACGAGAGAGAGCAGAC